AGAATGGTCAGGGGTAGGACACCAATATGTTACTGCCCGCCACCATTATATGCCCCCTGCCTTCCCCTTCTTGCCCCCAACTGAATGACAAGTGTCCTCTATTTTGGACCTAGAAATATGGTAAACCTAACATATATGATAGCCTGGGGTTAGGCATTCTCCTCAGGGGTCAGAGACTGTGATTAAGATTCCTGGCCTGAATCAGGCAGACAGGGCATTAAAATCCAGTTTTCCCATATACCAGATAAGTACTCTAAATACTAGGCTAGTGGATAAATGAGGAGCTGTTTCTTTTCTGCAGTGGTGTGCATCTAGCCTTCATTTTTTTCTAGACAAAACTTTAATGCTATTGCTGCTGCTACTGTTATGAAGACCCAAGAATATGATGGAAGCAGGATTTGTAAGGTAATATAATGCCTTTTATTGGACCAACTTTTATAACTGGAAGAGATAGGAGTTAGCTCTTGGACTTCAAGTCCCCTTCATCAGCCCAAAAGCATGTCTTCTTTAAATCAGTGGTTCTCAATCTTTTTAGACTCAAGTCACCCCTCATGGGACTCAAAGCACCCCTCGTAAAATATCAGCTCTTAGTTTTCACTTATTTTTTGACTACAGAAATATGAGTCATTCTGTTGCAAAGAAAATCAGAAAGATTACAGCAGATCAGAATGTTTTTAATACTACAGATTCCTATTTGAAATCTCTGGGTTCATCTTGCGAATCATGTTTGCTAACCTTAAACCTTGCACACATTGCATGGAACCCCACATCACCCTTGAACAGATCTCCAGGTACTGCATTCTCTCCTTGCTGAGAATCACTGCTCTAACTACTGTAGTTGGTACAATCAAAAAATATTATTTCACCCTATTAAATTAGCTAGTTTTCTAACAGCAATTTATTAGGATATACAGGAAGTGGTACTGTGAAAGATGGTCTTGAAAGTGGCTGATTCCCCAAAGTACTATGGCACAGTAATCTTTGGAAATTCCAGTGGAAGACTTTAGATCCGTTTCAATAAGGAAGAGACACTGTTACTGAGACCACACACTGCATTATGTGTGAATTCTCTACCCCACACACTGCATTATGTATCAGCCAAATTTTCATCTTCTCCACCTGGCAAAGGTAGAGGAGATGATATTGCTTGCAATAATTAAACACAAACCTTATGAAACTCAGTTTTAAGAATCAGAACTTTTTTAGCATATTAAATATCTAAGCTAGAGAACTTTGATATTTTTAAAAAAAAAGCAAAGGGAAACAAGATGAAAGTAAACTGCATGCATTTTATCATTTTGCTTCTGTATGCCAGTTCTGAGTCAGGAATAATGACTGACAAGCTAGTTCTGCCAAGAACTACCTACTTCACTCTGCTTTGCTCTGCAACTTGTGTAATGCAAGAACTCCCACCCATTTCTGAGAAAACTGAAAGGCAGTCTGATAAGTCACAGTCTGCTAGCTGGCTTTATAAAAGTTGTTCCAGCTTTGCATACTTCCTCATACAGCTAGATTCTCTGCAAAGATGAAGCAGTTCATTTACTTAGTCTCATTTGGGACGGCGCTGTTTGTTTTTACAGATGTTGCTGCAGCTGCTGATAATAGTACTGTGGATAAAAAGGAAGGAAAAATTACTGAGGCTTGTCCCATAAAGCTTAAAACTAGTGGGGAATGTGACGGAGAAGACTGTCCGTATCAGATAAACCTGCCTCCAATGACAATCCAGTTACCTAAGCAGTTTAGACTGCTTGAGAAGACGCTCAAAGAAGTACAAAACCTGAAAGAAATAGTAAACAAGTTGAAGAAATCTTGTCAAGATTGCAAGCTGCAGGCAGATGACAACCAAGAAAGAGACCCTAGAGATGATATCCTGGAACCTGGTACAGAAGTTCAAAGAGACAATGGTAATAAACAAGATAACAGGGTAAATGAATTGCAAAGCAAAGTTAATAAACTATCAACAAGTTTGAAGAATGCCAAGAATCAGATCCAACTGCTGCAAGGTCGCCTGGAAAAGATGAGTCTCATAAACATGAACAACGTGGAAAATTATGTTGACGGCAAAGTAGCAAATCTCACTTATGTTCTGAACACTTTGGATGACAAATGCTCTTCTAAATGTCCAGCCACAGAAGCAAGCTCAGGTATGTGAGCAATTCTTTCTTACCATTTTTATAAACTTTCTGTATAGTGTAGAACCAGTTAATAGATCAGTTTTAACATACTTTAAAGCAAATTATTTATGATCATCTTAAAAAAAGAAAAAAGAAAAAAAATCAAGATTGTTTGCTCTTTAAAATCAGGAAGTGCATGCTGTGTAAGATGGTGAGCACCTTCAACTTCCACTGAAATTATTGGGAACTACCAGTACTCAGGACCTCCCAGAAGTGGGCTGTAACATGTGAAGGACACATTTATTTGGCATGTAATTATTAGAGATGTAAAGTGTATGACTTCATTCACATATAGCTGGCTGACTCTAAACATTAAACATTTTGATTATTTTTTTCTTTATACATTTTAATTTTCTAGTCTATTTAAAAGGTAAATGTCCCCATTAGGTGTGCATTGGACTGAGATACGTACAGTTAGTTTTAACTAATGAATCTTTTAAAACCTTTTGAGGGATGAGAGGAAATCATGTCAGGCGTTCCTCTCTAAATGATTCCAATAGATTTTTGTCTGAGTTTGGTAATAAAGGAGTCAGAAGAAAACTCACAAAATATCACTGAATAATTTTTAAATGAGTTCAAAACTAGCAACAGTGGAATCTACTGAAAGATGTAGATTTTAAAGATGGATAATAAAATAATTATCTACCCTGGCTGAATGTGTATATATAAGGCTTGGCCAAAAAACAAATTAGCATTCATGTTTCTGAAATGGGTGGCATATGCAGCAGTGTATTAATGATTTCTTGGTCAGAATGTAATAAATGATCATTTAAAAATAAAAAAAATAAACATGAGAGCTTAGGGTTTTAGTTCTGTGAAGGACTTGTTAAAATTCTGTCATCCTAACTGAAAAAAGAGGGAGAACTGGTAATCTTGTATAAATTTCTAGCCAGTTCAGGTAGACTAGCATGATCAACATTTAGTCTTCTATAATGGCTGCATAAAGTCAAAAGCAAGAAGCATTCTCAAGAATTTGTCATTGTATTTCACTATCTCAGCACCATACGTTTGAATATAAGGCTTCTCTAGTGATTAGGATACTAAATGTTTTGAGCCACCACACTGTTGATCCTCCAAGCTCAAAAAACAAAACAAGAGAGAGATAAAACAAGCCTTTTGTCTATGAAAAGTGGAACATGCTGCCCTTCCCACTCCCATCAACAACACTAATCTATTTAAAGAGTAAGAGACAACCCTGCAGACAGCATAAGTGCAGAACTCCTGAACTTAAAACTATGAATAGGACAAACTAATAACTATATTATAGCAATGTATTTGTTAAAAGTTAATAATCAGATTTCATGTTTCAGATACATAGAGATGTCAGGGAGGAAGTTTTCTGATCCTTCACATACAGCGCTGCACAATTAACAAGGTTCATAATAGATTTTCCCTAAAGTATCAGGTGTAATTGGATGCACAAGTAAAGTAGATCTTGATAGATCTTTGCCCTTGCACCTTTTCTCCAAGACTTATAATTGCTGCTGCTCAGTCATGTTTAAACAAGATGTAAACTCAGGGAATTTAGCCATAAAGTAAAACAAATATAAATACATAAAATTCATAAGCACTAAGCAATCCAACAGTGAGGGAGGGGGTAGGTGTATGTGTGCAGGTGTGTATATTGGTAATACATTACAATATACAATACAATAATACACATACAATATTGTGAAAGTAGCAAGGATGACAGAGAAGAATTTCCTTACAGAGAGCCCTTTTCTGACTTCAGTGAGGTCAGTGACAAAACTAGTATTTTCTTAAATGCCAGAGAAGTTTTTTAGCTGAGGTAGACATTCCTTTTTATATTCTCTAACTTAGACTACATAGACTGTCATCAAAGCCCACTAAAATAAATGGGAGTTGTTCTTTTGACTTGACTAGGATTTGGAATAGGTCTCTAATTACAGGCCTAAACATGGATTTATAGATCTCACTTTACAGTTGCAAGTTTGAAAATGTTACACACTGCTGCATAGTTTCTACCAGCCTTCTACCAGTCCAATCAACATAGAAATAGAATTAAGACAAAGAAAGTCATTATTAACTCTTTTATCATGTGAGATAAAGTTGACCACAACTCAGAACTGGAGAACAAGTCATAAATATCCTTGAACTACTTGCCCCTGAATCCCCATTCCAAATTACTGCTTCTCAGAATATATTCTCTCTCTCTCTTTCTCTCTCATAATATTACTTACGTGCATCGTATAGAAGTATCTGTAGCAGGTCCAAAGTTAAGTTATATTGACATGTTTAAGTAAAAGAGGAATTAAATTGCCCTTTCACACTTTAATCACTGAATTTAGACTCCCAGATTGTCAAAATAACTTCATAGGGCTACCTAATTTTGTGTGTGTGTGTGTGTGTGTGTGTGTGTGTGTGTGTGTATTTACTAACTTTTGCAGAGAAAATAATCTTAAAATTATTCCTTTTTGAAATTTTGCCTTGTTTATCTTTACATTTCTTTCAATTCTTTTAGTTAAGAATTAGGTGACATCTGAGCCAGTAATTGAAAAGTTCTGACCCCCTCTCTCTTGCTGTACTCTGATAACAGCCCTATTTCTCAACAAGCAGTTATAATTATTCAAAATTATAAACTGCAGAAATGGTCTGCAATAATTAAGATGAGATTCAACAGGGACTAGTGCAAAGTCCTGCATGTCAGCAAGAATAACTGTATTCACAAATACGGACCAGGGAATGACTAGCTAGGCTGCAGTACTGCAGAGACCTGGGGGTTACAGTAGACCATAAGCTGAATATATACCTACAGTATGCTCTTGTTGCAAAAAAAGGCAACAGCATACTGGGTTATATTAAAAAGAGTGCCATTTGCAAATGAAGAGAATTGATTCTTCTGCTCTCTTCAGCACTGGTGAGGCCTCACTTGGAGTACTGTGTCCAGTTTGGGGCCCCATATTTCAAGAAGGATGTGGACAATTTGGAAACAGTTGAGTGTAGAGCAACAAAGATTAGTGGCCTGGGAGGCAAGATTTATGAGGCAGGCTGAAAGAACAAGTGTTATTTAATCTGGAGAAGAGAAGCTTGAGAGGGGATTTGGTAACAGTCTTCACATACATGAAGAGTGATTACAGAGAGAGAGAGATAGAGATGGGATTTTCTCCATGATTGCAGGGGACAGGACTACAGCAATGGCCTCAAGCTTCAGAAGGGGAAATTTAGGTTAGATACAGGAGGACTATGAAGGTGGTCAAGCAATGGAACAAGTTACCTAAAGAAACTGTGGAATCTCCATCCTTGGAAGTTTTCAAGAACAGGTTGGACAGACACTTGTCTAGGATGCTTTAGTATGGGGTGATCCTGCCTTGAGCAGGGGGCTGGACTAGATGACCTTGTAAAATTCATTCCATCCCTACTTTTCTATGATCCTAATAACATTTGTATTTTTAAATAATAATAAATAATTAATCCAAGCATACTCATGCATTTAAATTTTATGCTAGAAGATAACATGATCAAAAATCTGTTTTGGCTCTTACTATGTCTTGTACAGCAAGTAGTTTAATATTCTGTTATATCAGTTATTGTGGAAAATAATGTTCTAAGACTATAATTCATAGCATGTTTTCTGAAAACTTTGAAACAATTAAACAATGGGATGGATTTATAATCTTCAGGAAACACCTGTGAAGTACTATTTGTGTAAAATAAATTATTCATAGGAAGAAGAGTTATGTTAATGACAAAGTACTGAACATTCCTTGTTATAAAGCCAGCACTTTCACATGAAGAACATGAACAGGAAAGCACTGCCACTCTTCTAGCTCCATCTTTCTAGGAATCGCAGTGTAATTGTAATTGATACAACAATATTACTTTTCCCATCTTTCCTGAAGTATTGTAAACATTTGACCATCAACATAAGAACATATTTTAAAGGACCTAGTATTCTGTGTTCAACAACATTGATATGATTGAAACTTTTCCTGTGACATACAATCACATGAAAGGTACTGAGAATTACAGACATGAATACAATAGAGCACACTGCATCTACTCCAAAAAAGGAGCAATTGTTCAATATGTAAGGAAGCAGTAATTATAGTTATTATACAAGCATTAACAAGCCTTTTAAACATGAATGTGGAGGCAGTGGGCCAAATTCACAACTGTAATATGCCAGCCTACAGAGAAGGGTTGTGGCAATAGAAAATGTACTGGGGCAGCCAGGTTTTGGCTGAAAAAACCAAACAATTTCATGGGGGTGAAAAGAAGAAAGGAGACCAGCCCAGTCAAAAAATGAGCAAGACTGGTTAAAATGATAAATATCATCAGGTTGGCTGGGAAGCCAACTGATGCTGATATTCATTTCAGAACCTTTAGGTATTTATCTGCTATGAAAATATTCTAGTGGAAATAAAAACTGCCCCTCCTATACGTTTTACATCTCCCTCAATAAGCTTTGCTGAACTGACGCTTTTTATTGGTAGAAATGGACAACATCAAACCAATATACTGATACAATGTAGCATTCTATTTAGATGAACATTCCTCTTATTCTTATTTAGTAACAAGTACAGGACCAGAGCAAATGGTAGGTGAAAACCACTAGGTAGAGAAATTTACACGGTGGATTCAAAATGTACTTTACATTATCGTATTCCAGAATACTATTAAAAAATGTTTTGGTGTTTTTATTTTATTTTGTTTTAAACACTATCCATACTAATGTTTATTGTTTCCCCCAGGTATCCAAATAATGCAGAGAGACTGTGCTGATTATTACATGGCAGGTAGAAGAAAGAGTGGAATCTACAGAGTTATCCCTGATCCAAAAAACAGCAGCTTTGAAGTTTACTGTGATATGGAATCAATGGGAGGTGGTTGGACAGTGCTGCAGAGGCGTCAAGATGGCAGCACTAGCTTCAACAGAACATGGAAAGACTACAAAAATGGCTTTGGGAACCTCAGCAGAGAGTTTTGGCTAGGGAACGATAAAATTCATCTCCTGACCAAAAGCCAGGACATGCAGCTGAGAGTTGAGCTTGAAGATTTCAATGGTATCAGAGAGTATGCTAAATATGAACAGTTCTATGTAGCCAGTGAATATCTCAACTACCGTCTAAGTGTTACTAGCTACAGTGGCACAGCTGGAGATGCCCTGCACTACAACAAGCATTATAACCATGATCAAAAATTCTTTACTACGCCAGACAAAGACAATGATAAGTATCCATCTGGAAACTGTGGTGCATACTACAGCTCTGGCTGGTGGTTTGATGCATGTTTTTCAGCCAACCTAAATGGCAAGTACTATCACAAAAAGTACAAAGGTGTTCGCAATGGGATTTTTTGGGGTACTTGGCATGATGTTTCTGATAATATTCCAGATGGGTATAGACAACCTTTTAAAAAGGTCAAAATGATGATCAGACCCAATAATTTTGTGCCATAAACCATTACCCATCCCTGTAACCAGTTTGTATTGGTTACAGGGAAACATAATTCTTACTCAGTATTGTACTCATGGTTCAAGTATTCATTCATATTGCAGCAGAAAATGATATTTTCAAGACAAAACAAAGTGTTCCCACATAATAGTTGTAGATATCTCTCACACAGTTCTTAAAAATTGAACTTCACTGCTTCAGAATAGGTGTTGCTAAAATTTCTGAATTTGAAGACTGTGATTTAGATATTTTAATTCAGTGATCTTTATACTGCAGAGCAAAACAGCACTTTTAGTAGATTAGTTTTATTTTTCCTATTTTTTAGTCTAGAGAGTCTAGAAATTTTAAACACTCTTCTACAAACTCTGCCATTCATATTTTTACCCAAAATATCTCATCAACATGCTTGATTTCATACAGCTGATAAAAACTTTTAGGTTTAACTTGAGAGGTCTTGATATTGGCTGCATCTTCATAAACATTATTAATATATCATGATAACTCCACCTTCATCTACAAAAATAGTGTCCTCATTTTAAAGGGACTGAGGTACAGAGGCACCACATGATTTACTCAAGCATGCAAAAGAAGATTTGAGAAGAGACGGGAATTGAAGACTGATACCCCTGAATCGCAATTTGCTACCTTAACCAAAAAAAAATCCTATGTAGGATCTGCTACCTTAACCAAAAATATTGTTGTAGGACAGCAGAGTTTAATAAAACCACATGGAATTCATTTATGGAGTACAGAGTGAATCAGATTGTGTTCCCTTTCATCTCTCTGCTCTGAGCCCATCTTTGCTGGAAAAGCTAATGGCTACAAAGCTTGGCAGGGAACTGTGTTGGCAGGGCTGGAGTATGGAGCACCGAAAAAGAGTCTAAGCCCTTCTGCTGCCACCTCCAGATCTATGAAGATGGAGTTTTCTTTCTGCAAAGCCCAACTCAAATGAGCTTCTAAGCCAATGTCTCTTTCCTTTCCATCCTATATACAAAGTAAACGTTGCAAGGTGATTCTTTTAAAACTTTTATAATTGTCACTTTGGCAAGTTGATAGTTTCCTTTTAAAATCAAAAGGAAAATATCCATTTTTACACAGTGAATAAAAGGGAAGTAAACTAAGAGCTTTTGGTTCTAGAATGTAAAAAATAAAAGGTAATCAAAAGTTTAATATTTCCTGAATGATAAACTAAAGATTTGTATTTTTGCCAGGTCATACTGAATACTGTATATAGTTAACATAAATATGATTTGAAAAGACCTTGTTTAAAATTAGAAAGAATTTGCTACAATATCTACACCAGTGAATCCTCTGAGTGGAGATGCACTTTAAACATTCCTAAGTTTTTTAGCTGTTATAGCTTATGCCAGTTCCAGAAACAAAACAAGTTAAACTAGCAAAAGTATTTTCTTGTCAGTAAAACTGCATCTACACAATGGTTCTTGCCAGCATAGCTATCATATTTACGTAATTAGAAGACAAGGTTTATTCCCCCGTTTAATGCTGGGGGAAAAAACTCCTGGCCTTACAAACAAGTATAAGGCAGGGGTGGGGAAGAGTGGGGCAGACAGCTGCTGCAACTCTGGCTCCTTACTGCCTCTAGACCCCCACCCCTCCTCCCCTACAGCCTCAAGTCTCTGCTGCCCCCAGTCTCTCCCCCACCACTTCTCCCCCTTTCTCCCCTGCCAGACTCCCTCTTACCTTTGTTCCAGCCCGGCCCTCAGCCTCTGTCCTTGCTGAAGCCTGGAGTACAGAGAACAGAATACGTCCTCCAGTCTGGCCCTGTAGCAGCAGTGCTGGTTCCACATGTTTGTTATGGGGCCTGGCTGGAGCCATGCTCAGTGCCCCAGGCTGCAGCGGACATGGAGCCTGCTGGCCTGGAGCAAGCGGGGCAGGGGTGGAGGGGCAGGAAGGGGGGTAGAGACATAGGGAGAGAGACAGGAAGAAGGCGGGGTGGGGACCCAAGGCTGCAGGTGGCAGAGGTGACATGGAGGGAGAAGGGGGGGCAGGGGATGGGTGATTGGGGGCCTGAGGCTGCAGGGGATAGGCTATCTGACTGCCTGCCTCTTTGCCTGCCCCACTGTCTCCACACTGCCTATCCCCTTCACCTGTTTTCCTGCTTCCTGTTCCCCACTACTCCCTCCACTGCCTGCCCCTTTACTGGCCCCCACTGCCTGACATACCACCTGCCCCCCTTCTGCCTCCCCCCTACTACTTCCCCCCCACCTGCAATAGTGCGGGAGGAAGAATTTAAAATGATTCTCCAATAATTAGGTTCCATGCATGGAGCATTATAATAAACATATCCATTTTCTGTGTATAGAATCTAATTATTGGGGGGGGGGGG